ACGTTAAATATACAGTCTCACATCGTTAGATTCGCGTTTACCAATGTTCCTTTTTTAGTTTTCTTGTCGTTATGATAGAAAATTACAAGACATTTTTACGTTATTTTATTATCTTTTCTCCTATCTTCTCGTTTTATTTTCTTGTTTCCTGTATTATTATCATTATTTTTTATTTTTTTCCTCTTCAAAGTAGGATGTCTTCTTATTATTTTACAAAGAGGCCATTTTCCATTCTTCTCTTGCATCTTCTTCGAACTCACTTTATATCTTCAGACCATTGTCTCTTTTTTTTTCTTTTTTTTTTTCTAATCGCCCCACTTCAGAAGACTTAACAATACGACAATGAACAGATAATTTAATAGGAACGTGTTTTATTATCAAAAATTCGTATGATCAGCATTATTGCCCATACAACATGGTGTCATGTAAAAATTAATCTATATCGCGATAGGACTGCATATTTCCTTGTTTTTCCTTCCATTTATCGTTTCCTTTTTTCTTTTTTTTTTAATTAAGAAACTTTGTAAAATTGCACGCTATACTTAAGTTCTATTCATGATTTCCTTCCTTTTCTCTTTACCACTTTTTCTTTTAAATCTTTATGAATATGTTTCTACTATTAATGCGGTATAATAGTAGTCAGTACCGTATACCGTGTACTCGTATATTTTCCTTTTCCTTTAATTTTTTTTCTATTTTCTATTTTTTTTTTTCGCTTGTTCGTTCTCTTTTGGCTAGACGACGAATATTGTTATCAAAAGGAGAGAAAGAAAAAAAAGAACACGAATTGGAAAAAAGGAAGAGAATCGCAAAAGTTCGTTTTTCTTTTGCGTGTTCGCAGTTAATAAGGAAAGTTTTGTACAAAAAAACTCTTCGTCTTTCCTTCGAGCACGGACGAAAAATCTGTACACGTTATAAGACTTATAGAATATATACTTATACAAAGTTTTTTTACGTATATTTGTCTCGATACGCCTGTTTAATCCTTATCTGGATATCATTGTATTATCATTTGTATTATAAAATACTGTTGCGAGGAAAGTTGTTTTTCCATTTTCTTCCAGATAAAGATTAATCACTGTGTGAATTCGCATATTCATTAAGCCGTCAGTCCTTCGGAATCAACGCAGAAGGGTCGAATGTTTTAAGGACACTGATCGTCTTCATTTTTTTTTATTGTTGAAAAAATTCGTATATTTCTCTTCCAGTTTTATTTCAATGATTTTTCTTTACGTAATTACACAGAATTTTCGATTACAGAATGACCCTGAAACCTCGACCCTTAATTCCTGAATGATCAAGGAAGGATTCGATGAGAATTAAATTCATTAATACGTTCTGAAACGTAACGCAGGAAAATAATTTCGTTTCTTTTTTTTTTTCTTCAAATTTTTTACGATTTAAATTCGTAAGCTTATGTACAACCGAACAATCGGATATAGATCAGGATATATTCCCGCAAGGATCAGGAAGACGCTTCCAGGCGTTTTGATTAAAATGGAAGCTCCGAATTTTCGTTTCGTCCGCAGAATATTACCTAAGGAGCGTAATAAAATTATAAGGAGCCACGTAACCGTGAAAAAAGTACAACAGTCCATTAAAACGATTAATTTAAAGAAAGAAAAGAAAAGAAAAGAAAAGAAAAAAAAAAACATGAAAATATTTACTTACAAATGGCACTGGACCAATAATTCACTAAATACTATAATTTATGGAATTGCTTTAATAAGCAGTCCTGTATCTCCTTCGATAATTTCTACGACGCAATCCCTAAAATTACTTATTTATCTAGAACTTCGTTACTTACAATCCTTATAGACCTTCCTTGATGGTAGGTCTTTTATTTTAACATAGGTACAATATTATAAAAGTGCGTTAGTTTCGAAAAAAAGGGCCCAATGATTTTTCGATATAAAACTTTTAGTAATTTCCACCAAGCAATTTGGAATTGCTCAAAATAATTAGAGGATCGATCTGAATTTGATTCTGAAAAATGAATCGAAACTTATAAATAAGAAATACAAATAGGTGAAATTTTAAATTGAAAATTTTTTAAAACAATTAAAGATTAAAAAAAAAATAAATAAATTGTATACGTTACCAAGATCTTATAAATGAATGAATTCGTAATTATTATTTTGAGCAATTTATTTATTAAATCATTTAAGTGATTAATTAGTGATTATAATTTTGAGTTCTGACCATAGAATTCGAAAGAATCATATTTATTTATTTTTTTTTTTTCGTGCTTTCATTCGCTTAATCGAATAAAAGTGAGTCGTTTCGTAAAACGCAATGATTAGAGCCCTCCTCTTCGACCTGGGGACATTGTACAATTAGTAATATATATTTACAAACTCTGCTTTTCCTCAAAAGTACTGTCATACAATGAAATAATAGAGAGAAATGGTTTTTTATTTTAGACACTGTGATTAAGTGTTCATTTACATGTTTTGCTATTTTCAAAATGATATGACTAAAGTGGCTAAATTTTAAATAAAAGACGATCAAAGATTCAAACATATCGGGTATTCCGTACATGATTATTTTTCAATAAACTACGATTACAGCTTTATGAACGATAACTTAAAGGAGAAGTCATTGCACTGACAAGTTGAGATGAATTATATTTCTAACAAATCTGAATTATGCCACTTAAAAAAATAGAAAGGAAAACATACTTTTATTGAAAGTTTTGAAATTTGCATTTGAAATAGATGTAAATATGCATTAAAAAAGGAAAAAATTAAAGAGCATTTGACGAATGAAAAATTCAGAAAACACAAAAGAAAAAAAAAAAAGTTCTCTAAGCTAATCGAAAATACTGTAGCAGGTATTATGACCATATTAAAAGTAAATTAAACGTAATAGCATTATCTTTATTTTACAAGTTATAGCGATAAAAACAAAATAATCCCCAATCCCAGACTTTCCTTGCAAAATCTTCCGAACTAATCAATGATTGCAGAGGATCGATCACTTTGTGATCACATTTCGATGGCATTCCTTCGATAATACTTCGATACTCAGTTATACACTGTATAAAAGAATGATTTTTGGGACATCACTATGAGCCATATTGTCATCTGTTCCCCGTATATCTTAGGGTCGATTTATTAAAATGATTTATTTAAATTGTTTTTTTTTCTTTGTTTCTCATACAAAAGTTTAGATATCAAGTTGATACAATTTTTAAAACATTCATTAATAGATTCTTATGATAACTTGTTTATTGAATTTTAAAAAATAAAAAGATGTTTGATTTCACTAATTATTTCTATATCTTATTTTTCTATCTTTTCTAAAAACAAAACAAAGATAAAGTACAAATTTTATTCGAAACTATCAAGAAATATTAAAAGAAATATTATATTAAAGAATGCAGTCGATGAAAATGTCCGAGGAACAGTATATTTCTTTTTTTTCAAAATGGCATAAGTGTTATCCTAATCATCGCCGGTACCACAAGTTACCGACCAGTCGGAGCTGTGGAAAACCGCCGATATTTCTTTTTTAAGTTACAATCAATCGAATCGATTTCTGATTCACTGCTATTTTAAGAATTCGCAGCGACGGGTTGGCCATCGCTCTTAACAAATGGGGATATAAAAATTAATTATGTATATATTGTATAGATAATCTCTAGCCAGCTATTTTGCCGTTACAAACTAGCAACTATTTTAGTAACTGATATCCATTATAGTTCACGGCCTTAAAATTATAAAACAGATTAGTCTGCCCGTCGATATTCACTATTATTTATTGCAGCTCCGTGTGAGATAGAAATTTTTTTTCTTGTGTTACTTTTGTCGTCATTCATTCTTTTTTTAAATCGTGGTCGTTGTTATTGCAATAACGCAATAATTATTCTTTTATTGTGATCCCGAATGACTGGACGGAAGAGGGCTCGCTCAAATCGCGATATCGTTCCGTACCACGACTGCCATTTCAAAAAATAAAGATACATGTAAAAATGATTAATTATGTCTCTTGATGAAAATTTACATATTATTTTCATTTTTGATAATTTTTTAATTTTTAACTTTTTTATTTTTTGCTTAAATTTTTAATTTCAATTCATAAAAAGAAACGAGATAATTTAATATCTAATTTTCTTTCTTTCTTTTTTTTTTTTTTTTACTGAAATTTTAAAAAGCAAGGGCCGAGGTTCAGGCTTTTAAAATAAGACTTTTTCTTTTTTATTTAATCTTATTAATACCTGTATTTTTAGATTCATTCTTGAAATTGACATTTACCTACGTCATTGATAAATATGCATAGTATGCATAATTTATCAGAATTAGAATGATCAAGTTTCTGCTGCTTCCTGTCTAGCCAAGTTTCATTCTATCACATACAATTTTTATCATTTAATGAATCATAAAATCTAGATAATTGTATTCATTATAATTTTTCTTTTTTTTATTAAATCAATATTTTTTATTTTGTTTAGAGCGAGGATAGATTCCAAAAAATACAAGAAAAAGAAACAAAAATTAGCTTGTAATTCGACGTTCGCAAATTACTGGAAGAAAAAAACTATATTATCATTAAAACCAAGAAATTTGCTATTTGTTCCGATGTTACTGTTTCTAAGTAATGTGTCTATCTCAAGTGAGAAAATATAAAGTAGATTTATTATTTTTTTTTTTTTCGTTACTTCATTTTTCCTTTAATATGGGCTCGTATTCATTCACAAAATATTTTTTTTCGCTTTTAAGGGGGTCAGAAGAGGGTTCCGATTTTTTCCGAGCCGTCCTCTTCCTAGTCCCCCCCTCCGAAAATTTTTCCCCCGCGCAAACTTTCGCTGAGTCTTTACTTTTTTTTTTTTTTTCGTTACTTCATTTTTTCCTTTAATATGGTCTCGTATTCATTCACAAAATATTTTTTTTCGCTATTAAGGTGGTCAGAAGAGTGTTCCGATTTTTTACGAGCCGTACTCTTCCTAGTCACGCCCTACGAAAATTATTCACTCGCGCAAACTATCGCTGAGTCTTTACTTTTTTTTTTTTTGCTTTTTATGATACCCTTTTTCATGCGTTTTTTTTTATTTAAGATATACCCGACTGTCACCAAATAATCTTCCCACAGAATCTGCACAGAAAATGTGCTGCCAGTCACTCCGGAAACTTGTATCTTCCTGAATGTTGTCCACATTTCCTTTTATGTTATTTTTTTTTACATACGTTTGCACGTACCGCATTCTCATGTTAATTAGTATTTTGTTTGTTTAAAAAGGTTAAAAAATTAACCCCTTTACCAGCTCCTGAAAGGTATTCTCTAGCTGAATCATTTAGGCTCTGGGAAGGTCACCTGACACTTGTAGACTTCTTCGAGCATTACCGCTTGCCCTTGACCTTGACTCACAGTAACAGGAGTCGTGGCATTCACTACAACAACCTGTTGACCTTGCTGAGCTTGTTGGGGCTGCTGTTGTTGCTGTTGCTGTTGCTGTTGATTACTCGCATTCGCTTGCTGTGCGTTACTTGGATTATTCGCATTCTGATTTCGAGCAGTTTGACCGTACTTTTCATGAATTGCACGATGACGCTTTAATGCAAAGCGGTCGGAAAATCCAATCTCACATATATCACATCTACAATATAAATAATAGTAGATACTTTCATAAAAAATGTAAAAGAAAATAAATAAATAAATATAAAGAGAAATTTAAAAATTACAAATTAAATATTACCTGTGTGGTTTTTCACCAGTATGAACTTTTGCATGATTTTTCAGATGTGTAGCTTGATTAAAGGCCGAACCACATATATTACATCTATAGGGTTTTTCACCGGTATGAATTCTTCTATGATTCCAAAGAGTTGAATGTCTGGCGAATGTTTTTTCACACACTTCACACTGATAAGGACGTTCACCAGAATGAATTCTTTCATGATTCTTTAAATGAGGACTTTGCGAAAACTGCATACCACAAACACTACATTTGAATGGTTTTTCACCAGTATGCACTCGTCCATGATTTTTTAGATAGGCAGCTATAACATAAAAAATAAATATTGTGAATATGCATTATGTTTTTTCTTAGAAATTTAATTTGCATAATTTTATTTTATTCACCTTTTGCAAAAGCTAAACCACAAACTTCACACTTAAATGGTTTATCTCCAGAATGGAGTCTCTTATGGGACCAAAGTGACGAATATCTGGAGAATGTTCCATCACACACATTACAATGAAATGGCTTCTCTGCTTGATTTTGACTGTTCTGTTTACCACCTGTAAATAAAGAAACATCCAAATTCTTAGTTTTCCTCAAAGGGCCAGTTCTACAAAAAGATATGTTTTGAGATAATTGATTAAATGCTTTGAAGAATTCGAGACACTGGATTGTGTATGGCTTTTTCAAAAATATACTCTTTCCTGATACATTCAAAAGAGAATTTGAATATAGAAAAGAGAAATTCTAAATTAGCATCAATAAATCATTTTATGATGCAAAATTAATAATTGTAATAAATGTAACAATATTATGTAGAAATTTAAACATGCAGGTCATGGAAGTTAGTGTAGAAAATAAGAAATTAAGTATAATATCAGATGTTTTGAATTTCACAACTTTTGTGTCATTGTATGAATGATTAATTATATTGAAATTATTAAAATGAGCTAATTACAGCCTATATTTTGAACTAAAGAAAGAATGATATGAACTAAAATCTAAAATAATTTTTCCATGATAATAATGCTAAAGATTAGTGAATCAAATTTATAAAACTGTCCCTTAGGGGAGATTTTATTCCGTGCAATGATTCTTAAATATAAATATTGACAATGCTACCAAAAATAAAACAAAATTGATGCAATAAATTTAAAATTTATAATATTGTATAAAAACCAGCAAGTGCCGAAGACTTTTAACTATCTACATAAATGCATGCAAATAAAATAATAGTATTATAAATAACAATGAATGAAGCATATAATATTAGATTTTTACAGATTTTAACATTTATTCTTCTGCTATAAATTTGAAAAATAGATAAAATAATTAATGAAAAGTTACCCTAAATATTATTTTTTGAAACAATGATATAATGTATTTAATTTTTTTTTAGACATATAATAATATAACAAGATATAAACTTTAAAAATTTGAATAATTTGAATAATTTATAGAAAAATATAAATGATGTCATCTGATTATTAATGGAGATTCTAAAAATACTATGAAATATAAATCCCTTATTTTGTTTCGCTATAATTTTTCCGACTTACTTCCTATGATGATGCGGCCTGTTGCCTTGCAGCCGCCACACTTTGCGAGGGAACTGATTCCAGAATCTAGTTTTTCGTCGTGTTTACCTACCATACACCATCCGATGTACGATCATGACAGTAATGAAATGATAGTAGTACAGGAAAGATGATTATGATTTAAGAAGAAAAATGTTTTTTTTTTTTTCAAATACATTTTAAAGCAATACATAATACTATGTTACATGACAAACATTTTTCTTCAATATGCATAAAGCAAAATAATAACTTTTACTTACCAATAAAAATTATTCCTGTGCCATTACATTTATGGCATTTAGTTACACTGGTAACACCCCTTCGTTTCACAGGATGATGACCAGGCTTGATAGCTACAAAAATAAAATTATTTTAAATATTTATATTATGGAAACTATTAAAATATGCTATCAATTAAATGATTATTTAAAATTTGTATTCTATTAGTTTTAAAACTGATAATAATATTTATTTTATTAAAATATATTAAAAAAGTATTATATATTAAACAAAAAATAATGAAACATACTTTTTTTAATTTTAGTAGGATGATGTTCACAGGGGTCTTCACTGCCACAATCTTCGCAAATTTGCACTTTTGGTTTTTGGTGCATATTTGTCTTATGGCTCTTTAATTCTCCTGGTAATGCAAAACAAGCTCCACACACATCACAGGTATATGGTCTTTCTGGTGTAGTTGCAACAGTAACTGTTGTAGGTGTTTGCACAACAACTTGTTGTGGTTGTTGTTGAAGATTACTAGGTGTTGTATTATGAATCCGTTTGTGATGATTCAGCAAACTCATATGTCCAAAGACCAAACCACAAATGTCACATTTGAAGGTCGCATTGGTAGCAGCCGCAATACTCATCTGATTCAATAATGTGTTATAACCGACAGGTTGCACATCAAAACGATAACAACCCTTGTCGTCAGTTGTGATCGCACCAATTGTGCTCACCGCATTTGTTTGAACCTTTTGAAGCATGTTGACATTGTAATAGAAAGGGAAGTCCGCAGTTGCTGATTGCTGCTGGGATTTGTCCTCTTTCTTGTCTGTCGTAACATACATCTGTTGAGATTGTTGCTGCTGCGATTGTTGACCTTGAGCAGCTTGTTGCTGCTGTATTTGTTGTGGATCAAACATGGCTGCTTGTTGCTGTAAATTTTTATTAAATAACAATTTTTATATATTATTAAATTTAACAAATTAAATATAAAGACAGAGAATCAATTAGAAGAATATTATAAAAAATAAAATACATAAACTTTTATTTACTGAATGATATTATAAATATTCAAGTACATAATTTAATTATTTCTTACATATAGTAATTTATCTCTATTAATATTTTCACAATTAATAATAACCTGTCTCTGATCGCCGTAGCTTGAATTGCTCTGCTCCGTCTGAGTAAAACTGTTAGTTTGCTCGGTTTGAGTAAACATGGAACACTTCACTGGCTGCTCGATTGGTTGGCTCTGTTAAATAATAACTATTGTTAGATATTATGAGCTTTGTACTATTACTTCAAAAACAATGACATTCTATAATGCTTTGTTTTAATCAACGTGCTATACACATTGGTATACGTTATGTGTATTAAGCATCAATGAGAAGCTAATAAATACCAATGGAGAAAACTCGTTCCTTTTTTACGTCGTGCTGGTATACAAGCTGCATACCTGTTGTATTTGATCAGGACGGGTTGTGTTCAACCACACCACGTTGTTGCCATTTGATTCTAGGGCCATTGATGTGTTGCCTTTGACCCTGCACAATCAGTAGGCATTCATTAAACAGAAACAAAACAAACTTTGATATATCTAGATAGATATGATGCATTTTCTCTCTTTGAAAAAGACCACACAAAGAAAAAACACATAATTTTCATAAATGGATCAAAAGAAAGCTTCATAAAATATAATAAAAAATCAAGACTCAAAATATAACCACGACGTATGATACTCACATGTGATAGTCTACACGGGCGCCGCGGGTTACATGCCTGGGTGCCAAACGGATGGTCTTCTAGTTGCCATGACTGCGGCGCGGAATGCCGCGCAGCTGGTCACACTAATCCTGATGATCGTGATACCTTGATAAATGATTTAAGTATTTTGTCCTATACAACATCCGAGAACAAGTTCCTCGTGTCGGTAGGGCCGTGGTCGTGGCGGAAAATCAATGGCGATCGATTTAGAGCTTTGATACACTTTTTTAGTACGTTAAATCCCGCTAAAATTAACACTAAACACAACGCCGTTACAATATTTCCTCTTCAGGTTGCCGTGAAATCAGTTTTGAGTTACACGCTTGTCAACGAACAGCGTTGACCCGCGCAGATCATGTCGTCCAAGCGCGGTGGCGGTTGCGGCGACTGGTATACGAAGCGCGGGTTTCTCGGTTGCATAAAATTGGCGGTACCTTGGCGTAAAGCTCTTCTCGATTTTATTTCCGTAAGGTTGGGCCACGTCGGCGCGTACCGTGGCTCAAGATAGGCCGATGCACGAACAAGCAGACCGAACACCGTCAACAAACTCTACGGTAGCCATTACACGCGACGAGGATAACAATGGGCGACACGAACGCGCGCTGCCCCCGATGCCTTTTTCCGACGCGTTTTCGGGCGCCTTCCGTGAATGCAGCCAAGCGCCGCCAAGGTCAGCTCCCGGTGACGCTTCAGAAACGCTAATAGCCGTTACACCGTGCAATCTTATTGGTTCATAACTTACTGTCGCTACTTTCTATTGGTTTTGTCGTTCTTTACATGCGAAACTTGAAAATTAATATTTATATTTTCTTATCAATTTATATTCTTAAATATAAAATTTATAGAAATAATTTTAAGATATTTAAATATTTTGTTTTCATTTTATTTTAAATAATTTTTGTAATTTGATTTTTTATAAAAATAAATGTATTATTTTTTAATGAAATTACTTATTGAAATATAATAAAAATCAAACAATAAATAATATTAAAATATTAAATAATTACATTTTTACATGCAGTAAACATAAATATTTGGATATAAAAATATTTTTTTGTATATAAAGAATGTAACTAGCGTTGACGTGGAAATCTGGCTTCAGAGTTTATATTCATCAGTAATTGAATAATTCAACGTAAGATGGAGTGACTGAATTTCCAAACCGACATAGATATTTGAAGTTTTTATCTATTATATATATTCGTTTCATATATATATCATAAAAAAATTGATTGTTAGTTTATAATTAATTTGAAATAAGTTTTCTGATATTTATTAGTAATTTTTAATCATTATCAATAGAATTTATGTAGAGAATCGCTTCCAAAATATCATTTTAAGTTATTTGGCAAATTTCCACACTTTTTCGATTTACATATACATCTTACTTTTTTTTTATTTAATATTTTAAAAATTTTTTTTTTATTTAATATTTAAAAATAAGTAATATTTTTAATTTTAAAATACGAAATTTTTTCAATAATAAGATTTTTTAATTATATTGTTTTAATTATTTTTTGTAAGTTGAATATTGTATAATAATATATAGTGAATTATTAATATTAACAAATTATTTATAATCGAAATTTTTTTAGATAAAAATATATTAAAATATTAAGCAAAATGTTGAGATGTAAAAATTATGCAAAACATTCTTTTAAAAATAAGTATTGTATTAAATAAGTCAATTTTCTATAAAAGGATATTACACAACGTGTGTACTTGTAGATCCTGCAACATCATAAATTATATATTTCAATTCATGACAATTTTCAATAAATTTTTTATGATAAATTTCAAAAGATAGATCTCTTTAAAAAATTAATTTTTTTTTTTGCTACTGATTTTTTCAAATATTGAACAATAAAATAATAGAAATGGAAAATTTTAATTTAATTAATTTAATTAATTGTTGATAAAATTTTTCTAATAATTATAATTATCATATTATCATAATTAATTTTGATTATATTCATAATTAATTTTGATTAAAGCCAAAACATTGTTATATAAAAATATTTTTTGATGTTTATTTATTAATTTATACACAATTTAAATTTGTATTAGATGAAGCGAAACAAAGATAAAATCTTTGTTACATTATCTTTTATCTCCTCATTATATCTAAAACAAATTTAAATTGTATATAAATAAGTTTTAATGAACATTTTTGTGTTTATTTTAATCATTTATATCAAAACAAATGATATAAATCGATCATTTATATTTTACGAATATATTAACATCCTATATATACACGCTAATAGTTAACAAAAAGTTTTATATCTGTGGTAGAATAAAGGAGGAGAAATACCTCTTTCCTTTCTTTATCGATATGATCTTATCTATGATGTAATATTTTTGACCAATATGCGTGCTCGTTTTTATGAATGTATTGAATCTGTCAAAATTAATCAATCAAATTAGCATTTTTTTTTTTTTTTAGAAGATTTTTTGAAAAAAAAAATAATATGTTTTAAAATATGTATATTTTAAAATATATATTTTAAATTTTTTAAAATTATAATATATATACAATAATATTAAAAATATAAAAATTTTCAAAAAATTATAATAAATTAAAATTAAATTAAAATAATTATGAAACTATTATTCCTATAATTTTTGAAAAATGATCAAATTTAAATTTGGTTGATGTTATCTGTAAAGAGTCTCAACAAATAATTATTAAGTTTATTGAAAATTATTCTCGATTTAAAAATTTATATATACCTTTCTTCTCAAAATATTACGATTTCATTTCGATTTTTTTTTCTGCCTTTAAATATAATTAGCATTGTCACTGATTTATCTTATGATTATGCTTACTAAAATATCACACGATTTAGGAAACAATCTTTTTGCAATTTACGTGAAAAACTATATAATAAATTTTATTATTGCAATTATACTATTTTATATATATTTCAAATTATATTTTAATTTCATTTTTTTCAAATTGTTAAATTTCATTTATTCATCAAATTCAAATTGATATCATGACATGCAAAATTTTATTTATTGACAAATGTACTATTTTCTTAATTTTTTTTTAACTTATCTAAATACACAGAGACGCGTGGAAGGTTGTGTCTTCAGCTGTCTGTTAACAGTATCACAGAATATCATTACGAAATTCACATCTCGTCGTTTTTGCGCAGTAGAACGAAGTATCAACTTTGAAAATCAAATTTAGGGGAATCATTTTTTATAGATTTCTATTTGGAACAGATTGACTTTAAGCATAATAGTTATAAACGATTCTGATACGATGTAGCTCGTTTTCTGAATAAGTGTAGATTTTCATTTCGAACGCTTATGATTTTAAAAATTCCCTCGAAAGCGTGTAATCGATATAGGTGACCTACTTTGAAATCGCTCTATATGGAGTAAAGTAAAAAGAAATCTTTATTTTTTTAAAGAAAAAGAAGAATAAAGATATTTTAAGTATTTGGAAAAAAATATTTAGAAAAGTAAGAAAAAAAATAATATTAATCTAATAAAAAAAATAAATAAAATGAGATTTAGATTTTATAATTGATCTTATAAAAATCATATATAAATATTATTAAAAATTTTTCAAAATATTTTTTTTCAGAGACATAAAAATAGATGTCAATATGTATTATTTCTTGACGTTACTATAATTAATTACACGCAAAAATTTAATGAAAAAAAATTAAATAAATTAAACGATAAACTAGATTTGATAAATATTTATTTGATAATTTTTACATCTCATTCACAATTTGAAACTAAAACAAAATTTTTTAATATATAATAAAATTTTCAAATTTTTAAAAATATTAAAAATCGAATCTTGCTACTTTTTTAACATATCAAGATTTTAATATATTCAAAATAAAATTCTTTAACATTATAATTATATTAATACTTGTTCAACACGTTAAGTTTCTTGATGCATCATATAACTTAAATTACATAAACTTAATAAATTTTTAAATGGTCAATACGGCCCTGTAAAATGTAGCGCCTGTTTCAAAACGCCTCGATGCTCGGCACCAGTCTCGCTTAGTCAGTTGGCGTCGCGACGCCGTCGCCAGACGTATTCGAGAATCATACACGATATAATTGCCGGGTATTCTTTGTTTCTGACATAAACGGGGATAATTACTCAAAGAACGTACTCGCGTACGTTCAGTGTACGCGAACAGTGAACATCACAATTCAATTTTCACCTTTGTTCCAGCTACGAGAAGCTGTTTCTTCAAGGAGGAAACCAGATTCATAAAGTGAAAAGTATATTAACGAATTAATATTTAATGAAAAACGAAATTAAGACTGCGTGGAACAGTTAAATGTGAAGATTCTAGGCATAGCATCTCACAGGATCACATCTTTTGAAATCATAAGTCGAATCACGTTATATACATTGTGTCAATGTAGAGTGCATTATCGATGAGCCACGAGCTTTTCAACTTTGTCCCAATCGTTCCCAGGAGGAGGGTTTAATTCAATCATCTAAGGTGCTAAGGATCATTCGTTCTTGATACAAATGACGCGCATCAAGATAACAAAGGACACGACTGATATGTTCTCAATCAGAGTCAAATGACGAACGAGCCTCGTGATTCCTTCGATTAGCAAGAAACGAAGGAATAGGATCAAACAGAGACTGAACGAAGGGATTCTTCTTATTGAAGAATATCCTGTCGAAGGAGAAAAGTGGAAAGAGACGGCAATTAGACTTATCAGACTTATATAGCATTTCATCGATGATAATCAGTGAGATTTGTCAAGTCAACGTTATAGTTTGATCGTTGCACAATTTGTACAACTGTTAGATATGCATATATCGTTTGGTGATATTTGTTGTGAATAGATGTTTGGAAAACTTTAGTATGTAAACCCAAACTAGTTTAATAATCATTTAATGGCTTAATTAGAGAACCGTTTAATTAAGGAGAAGTATCTACAAAAAGCGGTGAATTCGAGATTTCATCTTCAAGAGAGTTTTAAAAGATTAAATTTCACGAAAAAGTAAATTATTGTTTTAAAATATATACTTCCTTATATAAGAAAGAAAAAGAAATAAATATGAAATCCTAGAAGAAGCATCATATTATATCCTCAAGTGAAAAAAACAATGTTTACATATTTGATTAATTAGCTATTTCACAAACAAGATTTCTCCAATCAAAATTTGTTTCGTTTTAATTTTGATCAAATCCTCGAAAGACCTTGTACTTTCAGTATTGCTAAGTTAGAAGCTTTTTGAATATTTCTCATCTCCTCGTCAACATTTCTTTCTCCTTATCACTCTTTTTTTAGGTAACGGATACAAAACAACCCTTGCTAAAACAACCCTTAAATCAAAACTATTCGAGTACCTGGTACCTAAATTTGTCGAGACGTTCGCGGACAGTTAATCTATTTATTGCTAAGATGCATCCAGGGTCGTTGACCTATGGTGTGTCGCTCGAATAATTTTAGGCAGTCACGAATTTGGAAATTAACTGTGCCACTGAGCTCGAAATTAAAAAGGAGGAGCATGGTCAAGATCAATGAATGCTATCCACACGTGTCTGTTCTTTTTAATCACGAATGATTTACGTACGATATGTTTTCAATGCTTATTTTCTTCCACTTTCTTATTTCATAAATTTACAAAATATTAAAATGAAAAGTAAAAATTCTGAATGAATTATTGAAACTGGAACGGTGATGATACACTCTCGAATTTTTTTAGAATTAATAGCATATTCAATCAAGGACGGTATCGTCTTAGATTATCTTAATACACGGTAGTTTTATGTAATAAGTTAAAAGACATTCTACAGAAAGATTCAAGAATCTTGGAATATACTCGATTGTAAATTTTCGAAGCATATTCGATTATTATTCGACGACCCGATTTCTGTGGTAAATTCCGCGTGGAATTTTGATTAAGACTTGCCAACCGAATTCACCATCATGATTTATTTATACGCATATTCTCAAATGAAATAATATTGGATTCGAAGAAAGTCGCCTTTGCCGAAGATTCTCTATCAATTTTCAACGCTGTTCAAAGCATAAAATATTATACGTGATGTATTTTGTAATAAATGTATACGTGATTTAATAATCCAGCCAATCTTCTACTAGAATACTTCCTTAAGGTAAAGATAAAGATAGTGTTAATTGAAAAAACTCGAAATATACCATTCGAAGAAACAATAGAGAAAAGAAAGAATGATGATTTATTATGATTCTCTGATTCTTATTTCAAGTGAGAAATCTTTTGATTAAAAATATTTTAAATTATATTAGAAACTATATTAAAATCGAGGTCAATTGTGATTAAATTTAATATAATACGGATTGTTATTTTTTTTTCCTTTATCAACGAAACGAAAATATATCTTACGGAAATGTCAAGTTCACCAGATGGGCGGAAGGCCCCTCCTCCGAGGCTGAAGATTCAACTTCCTTTACCAGGCCAGTATTATCCGCAGACTGGTATGGGATACGTTTCAACCCCATATGGTCAAACTCCTATGCCGATGACACCGGTTTCCGGTCAACCGCAGATGCTTTACGCGAACAAAGCCAGCGAATTTGTATTTAGCCAGTTTAAAGGTATCAAGGATCTGACCAAATCTGGATTGAGCGTCGGCGAGAAGAGCGCATTTTGGCTTTACGAGAAGGTCTGCGTAATTTCGTGTGTGTCTCTTATGTGAATCACTGATTATCAGAATAAG